GTGATGTTCTCATAATCACTGGTGGCCAGTGGCTACCATATTGGGCAACACAGGTCTAGGGTATCTGGTGTCATGTCTCATGGAAACGGAGATTGCAACCACCCTTGCCTTTGTTACTAATCTCAAGGGGAATGCTTTCAATATTTCTCCATTAATCAGGATATTTGCTGTAGGCTTTTTGGAAATACCTTTACCAGGATAAAGACATTCTCTTTGGATTTCTAGTTTGCTACACATTTTAAGACCTAAATGAATGTTGAGCTTTCCCTGCATCTGTGGAGATGGCCCTACGTCTTTCTCCTTGAACTTTTAATGTGGTGAATTACATCGACTGATTTTCAAATGGTAAGCCAACCTTGCATTTCCGGATGAGACCCAGTTTTGTCACGAGGTAGTATCATTTTTCTACACTGCCACATTTGGTTTGCTGATGTTTTGATTAAGAATTTTGTATCTATATTCCTGAGTGACACTGGTCTATAATTTTTTTTTTTTTTTTTGGCGCTGTACTGGTGGCATGCAGAATAGTTGGGGTGAGACTAGAATGATTTCTTCTTTAAATAACTCCTAGGCGAAGCCCTCTGGGCCTGAGTTTTCCTTGTGGGAACATTACTGATGGTCAAGTCAATTCTTTCAACGCTTATGGGGAGATCCGATGTTCAGTTGGTTCCATGGGACATCAGGTTGCTATAGCACCAAGATAATTTCATATCCGTTGGTACAGAGCCACCACTCCCAACCCGCCAAGTGCCACAGCCACCCCATGGCTGCCCCAGATCCCCCAGACCTTCTGATGACACATAGATAAAAGAGTTAATGCCTGGCATAGCCAGGGGTCTCTTGGACTCTGCTCAGTGCTAAGGCAGGCACCTGTTATGAATGCTCCGGTGCCCCATTGTTAGATACTTTGGTACTGTGACCAGGGGTGCTCATTCACGGTTTCTCTCAAATAAGTTTTGGTAGGTTACAGTCTTCTAAAAATGTTCCCAGTTCATTAAAATTTTGAAGTTACTGTAATAGTTATTCATAATTATCTTTTATCTTCTTTTTCTCAACCTCAGCAGACTCTCTCGCTCTTCATTCCCGATATTGGTTAATTGTGCCCTCGCTCTTTTTTCTTGATCAATGTCACCAGCGGTTGTCAGATATAATTAGTGTTTTTCTAGGAGTAATTTTGGTTTTTTGCTGATCCTTTCCATCACCTTCTGCTTTTGCTGTTACTCTGTCCTTCCTTTTGTTTTTTGTTTTTTTTTTTAATTTTTTTTTTCAACGTTTATTTATCTTTGGGACAGAGAGAGACAGAGCACGAACGGGCAAGGGGCAGAGAGAGAGGGAGACACAGAATCGGAAACAGGCTCCAGGCTCTGAGCCATCAGCCCAGAGCCCGACGCGGGGCTCGAACTCACGGACCGCGAGATCGTGACCTGGCTGAAGTCGGACGCTTAACCGACTGCGCCACCCAGGCGCCCCTCTGTCCTTCCTTTTGTTTTCTTTTACTTTACTGTCCTTTTTCCAGCTTCTTGAGATGGGCACTTACTACTTTCAGCCTTTTCTCTTTTCTAATATAAGCATTAAAAGCCATAAACTTCCCTTTGAGTCATGCTTTAGCTGTATCCTGCTACATTTTTTTTTTTAAAGACTTTATTTTTAAGGGCGCCTGGGTGACTCAGTTAGTTAAGCGTCCGACTTCAGCCCAGGTCACGATCTCGCGGTTGGTGAGTTGGAACCCCGTGCTGGGCTCTGTGCTGACAGCCCGGCGCCTGGATCCTGCTTCGGATTCCGTGTCTCCCTCTCTCTCTGCCCCTCCCCCACTTGCACTCTGAGTGTGTGTGTCTCTCTCTCAAAAATAAACATTAAAAAACTTTTTAAAAAAGAGTTTATTTTTAAGTAATCTCTACATCCAACATGGGGCTCAAACTCACAACCCCAAGATCAGGAGTCATACACTCTACTGACCGAGCCAGCCAGGCACCCATGCAGTTTTTAATATGTAATATTTCCATTCCATTCAGTTAAAAGTATTTTATAATTTCTATTATGAGTTCTTCTTTGGTCTATCAGTTACTTAGAAACACACATCTTAATTTCTAAATAACTGATGGACCAAAGAAGAAATCGTAAATCTTTTCATTATTGATCTCTGGCTTATTTGCATTGTGGTCAGAGGATGTACTCTGTATGATTTCAAACTTTAGCAATTTCTTGAGATTTACTGGTTTTGTAAATATCCCACAAGTCTTGGAAAGTATTCTGCTGTTGTAGCCACAGTGTTCTATGAAAGTCCATTAGTCAAATGTTTTCATCATATTCTTATTGAATATATTTGTTTGTTCTGCCAATTAGAGGGGTGTGTTTTTAGATCTCCCACCATAATTGTGGATTTATTTTTCTGTGTAGCTTTCTTCATGTTTCTTATATGTTAAGATTATGGAATTTGCACACAGACATGAAATTGTTCTCTCTTTCTGGCAAATTGGATCATTTTCATTATGAAGCAACTCTCTTGATCTCTAGTGAGGGTCCCCCCCCCCCCAAACCGGAATTAAAGGGAATAAATCAGCCTTCTTTTCGTTAGCCTTTGTATGATGTCCTTTTCCATGCATTCACTTTGATCGTCTCTCTACCCTTGTTTTGGGAAGTGTCTCCTGCGGATGTCTTCTCCAAATTGCATGTAGTAGGATTTTTACCCAGTCTGATAGTCTTTGTATTTTATTTTTTTTAAATTTATTTTAATGTTTATTTATTTTTGAGAGAGAGAGAGAGAGAGAGAGAGAGAGAGCGCACAAGCAGGGGAGGAGCAGAGAGAGAAGGAGACCCAGAATCTGAAGCAGGCTCCAGGCTCCGAGCTGTCAGCACAGAGCCCGATGCGGAGGTCGAACTCACGAACCCAGAGATTATGACTTGAGCTGAAGCCGGACGCTCAACCGACTGAGCCACCCAGGTGCTCTGTCTTTGTATTTTAACATCTAGTCCGCCTGCATTTATGGAATTACAGCACATTTGAATTTATATCCGTCATTTGTCCCACCTGCCTTGTATTTATTTTTCTCTCCATTCTCACTGGGTTTAGGATTGAGAGGGTTGATTTCCTCATTCTATTTTCCTCCTGTAAGAATTTGAATAAATATTATAAACTGCAGTTCCATTCTTTTAGTGTACCTTGGTAATGACATTCTTAACAAGTCTGTGTTATTTCATATCTCCATTGTCCTCCTGAATAAAAAAAAAAGGATTTTAGAACCCTTTAACTCCACTCATCCGAGTTATATGCTATTGTTCTTGTGTATTTTAATTCTATTTTTTATCCGGAAGGCATTGTTATTGTTTTATATTATCAATGTCCTTCATTGTTCTTTATTCCCTATTGCATCAGACCTGTCTGTGATCATCTTCTTCCTGTCTCAAGTTCTTCCGTTGGAATTTCCTTTAGGGAGGGTCTGCTAGTGGCAAAGAATTAGTCTTAGCATTTGTAAATCTTATTCCACCTCCTCCTGGAAAGATATTTTCACTGGGCACATAATTCTTGGAATAAATTTTCACTGGGTATATAATTCTAAGATGATGGTTATTTTTTCCCGGGACATTAGATAAATCATTCCAGCGCCTTCTGGCTGGCTTCTGATTAAAAAAAAAAAAAAAAAAATCAAGTATAAATCTATCATTTCTTCTGTGCTCCAGACTGAGGCTTTTGGACTTTATTCTGAGCGGAATAAGGAGCTACGGGAGGTTTTTAAGCACTAAGGTGACCCAGTCACATCTGCATTTTAGAAAGCGCTCTCTGGCACTGTGTGGACGCGGGCTCGGAAAGGGCTGCAGCCCAGAGGAAAGGACGAGGGGTGTGGAGGGGAGAGGGCAGAGAGGCAGGACTTGGGATCGATGCAGGTAGGCGGTGGGTGCCGGAGGGGCGCGCTTCCGGGCGGGGATGAATGGTGGCGCGGGAGCGAAAACGGAAGCGGGTTGGGGGGGGTGAGGCTGGGACCTCGAGATCCATTCATTCCACAAACAGTGGAGCGGCTACTGGATGCCCAGCGCCAAGCGCGTGGCAGCAAAACCGGACCCGGTGTGCACGTTCCATCCGCCCCGGCCACACCTGCCGCGAATTATCGCCTAGCCGGGCCCCTCCGCACAGCCCCCGACGGACGGACAGACAGACTGACGAACAGGCAGGCGCCGGCTTAGGACTGGCCAAACCACGCCGCCGCGGAGCCCGGATCTAGAGGCCTCTGTCTTCAGAAGGAAATTTCGGCTGGCCCCGCCCTCCCGCCGCTTTGGGGTCCGCGCCCCGGCCCCGCCCGTCCCCGGTAGGAGGTGGGCCGCTTGACCTCCGAGGTCGGCCCGCTTCTCATCTGCCCAACCGGGGCGTGTCGTTTCCGGCCTCTCAGGGTCGCCGGGAGCATTTAAAGAAACGCGTCTCGGTATTAAGATCTCGCTCCGCCCCAGTGCCAAGCAACACCGGCGCCAAATAAGTCCCGCGGGCCGGCCCCGCAGAACAGGAGCTCGCGGCCCGCGGCGCGGCGGCGGCGGCGGGTGGGGCGGGGCTCCATCGTGGGGCGGGGCCAGGGGGCGGGGCCGGCGGGGCGAGGGAGGCCCGGG